AGAATTGAGACTTCCACATGACATTTTTAGGAATGCAATTCAGTATATAAAATTGTATAGTTGAAATTATATTGTGCATGGCTTTTTCACACAGTGTGATACCCTTGAGAGCCATTCAAGTTGTTGCTTGTGTCAATAGTTCATTCTTTTATGAAGCTACTAGAAGCAAGTGTATACAGGTTTTTGTGTAGACATAAGCTTTTATATCTTTGGGATAAATGTGCTTGTGTATCATATAATAAATGTGTGTGTTTAATTTTTAAAAGAAATGGCCAGACTCGTTTCCAGAGTGGTTGTGCATTTCACACTCCCAAATGGAATGCAGGAGAGATTGTTTGCTTGCATTCTTGCTAGCATTAGATTTTGTTGCTATTTTTTCAATTATGTTTTCTTTTCGCTGATCTCATAGGTATGTCATGATAGCTCTTAATTTGCATTTCTCTAACCAAGTGATGCTGAACATCTTCCTGTGTGCTCATTTTTCTGTATATCCTCTTTCAGTGATATGTCTCTCCCTGTGTGCTGCCCTTTTGCTAATTGAACTCTTAGTTCACTGTTGAGGCTGTAGGATTCGTTTTCTATTCCAAGTATGCGTCCTTTATCAGGTAGGCAGGTCGGAAATCTTTTCCCCTAATTTTTTTAACAGAGCAGAGATTTCCACTTTAGATGGTGTTCCATTTATTTGGGTGTTTTCTTTTTCTTTTTATGGATTGTGCTTCACAGTCTAAGAACTCTTCTGAGTGCTAAGAGAGATCGAGTGCTAGGTCTCAAAAATTTTGTTTGTTTGGTTTATTTTTGTTTGTTTGCTTAATTAAATTTTTTAATTTCACCTTCAAATCTAGGTTTTCAATTATCTTCAACTAATCTATATAGAAGATGTGAAGTTTAAGTTGTGGGTAGATTTTTGTTTTGAGGGTTTTTGGGTTTGTTTTTGTGTTGTGTTTTTTTGTTTGTTTGGTGTTTTGTTTTGTTTTGTTTTGTTTTGTTTTGTTGTCTGTTTGCCTATAGCTATCCCATTGCTTCAACTTCTTTATTGGGAAGATAGCGTTTCTTCCATTCCATTGCCTTTGTACTCTTGTGAAAAATCACTTGGCTGTGTTTATCGGGATTTGCGTTCTTTATTTGTTTGAGTAATCTGTGTTTCTATCCCTTTGCAAATGCCACACAGTCCTGGTTACTGTATAATAAGGCTTGGAATCACATAGTGTGATGTTGTTGTTAGGGTCATTGTGTCAAGTATGACTCATAGTGAACCTATAAAAACACGTTGGAAACCTGCCCTATCCTGTGTTATCCTCTTCATCTCTGATAAACTCAAGCCCGTTGCTGGGGCCACTGTGACAGTACATCTCAAAGGGCTTCCTCACTTTCATAATGTCTCTTGCCAAGGAACAGCCATTCCTAACAACAAGGACAAAATAAATGAGTCAGTGTCACCATCCATATCTGCTTATTCTTTTGGAAGCCCGTGGGATATTCTGTCCTGGAGAGGGTGAAGCCGGAGTGCTCCTTGGAGTTAAGGATTCTGAAGCTTCGTCTGACATACTTTGGGCATGTTGCAAGGAGGGACTGGTCCTTGGAGAGGGACATCATGTTTGGGAGAGCGGAGGGACAGCGCAAGAGAGGAAGATGAGATGGATCGATTCTGTGATTGGGGTGGTGGGAGTGAGTGTGTCGGAGACAGTGCGATTGGCACAGGTTAGAGCAGGGTTTAGGGCTCTTGTACATAGGATCACTATGAGTCGCAAGCAACTCGATGGCACATAACAACAACAATATAAATCTTAAATTATCTTGTCTAAATCTACAAAAATCTTGCTGGAATTGCATTAAGTCTATATATCAACTTGTAGAGCCTTCACATCTTTACTTTGTTAAGTTTTACAATCCCTGGATGTGATAGATCTATTTATTTGGAAATTCTATGACTTATTTTACCAACATAATTTACTTTTTAGCACACAAATCCTGCACGTCTTTGCAGTTTTATATTTTATTTTGCTTTTTTAGTGATTGCAGATGGTATTCTATTTTTATTTTTTTATTCATATGCTCAGGGTTGTTATATAGAAATACAATTGATTTTGTATGTTGGTCTTATGTATTGTGACCATAATGTACTTGTTTTTGTGGCTTTATACCGTAGAGTCAGAACCAACCTATAACTGACCCGCCAGTGGGTTTTCAGAGGCAGTTAATCGCACTGGAGGAGATTGTCCATCTTTCTCCCGTGAAGCAGCTGGTGGCCTCAAGCCACCTGTCTTCAGGTTTGCAGGAGGGACCAGTCCATGGAGAGGGACGTCATGTTACCAGACCACTAGAGCTTATTTATTCTTTTTAGACATTAGGGCTGGGGGAAGACAGAGAAGAAGGGGAGGAATGATGTATACTGCATTGAAACAGATGAGGGAGAGAACTGTTTAAAAGGGATATATGATTAGGTATTATTGTCGTGACAAGAGTCCAGAATGAAGGCTGAACAGTGGAGTGGACTTGGGGGGGGGAGGGATTGCATAACAATGACAGAGTTTTTCTTTTACTTTTCAAGGAGAAGAGTGAATTGGGCGGGTGTGGGTGGGCGGGGAAAATGCACCCATGAATGACTGGAAACCCTAAGTCTCTGTAAGCTTTCATTAAAATTAATTTTCAAAAACATACTTTTGAATTTTATAGGTAGAGCATCATGTCATCTGCAAACAAGCCCACTACTATGGAGTCAGTTCTCACTCCAAAACACTCCTTTGGGTTTCCAAAGCTATACATCACAACAAGAGAAGACTGCCCACCTTTCTCCTGGTAGAGCCTTTAATGGGTTCAAACCACTAAAGGCACACCGTCTTTGTATTAATAGCATAAATCACTATACACTATGCCATCAGAATTCCTTCTATTTGACATAGGACAAGTTTTGTTTTTTCATTTCCAATCTGTATGTCTTTATTTTCCTAGCCTTGTTATGTTGGCTAGAACTGCCCACACTGAATAACAGTGGTGAGAGAGGGGATATTCGTCCTTGCCTCTGTAAGTGATCTTAAGAAATGGTAGCAAATCTCTCTCCATCATATACAGTGTTTGCTGTTGATTTTTTTAATAAAGTTGGGTTGGGATTTTTTTATCAATTGAGGAAGTTCCTTTCTTTTCCTATATTTCTGAGAATTTTTGTCATAAATGGGGGCTGAATTTTGTCAAATGCTTTTTAGTTGATAAGGTTGTGTGACTTTTGTCCATTAACATGATGGATTATATGAACTGATTTTGAATATTGAGCCAGGCTTACATTACTGGAAGAATTCCCACTTGGTCATGTCATGTACTTCTTTTTGTGTTTTACTACAGCTAATTTGATAATAACTTTATTAAAGATTTTGATTCTGTATTTGTGAGGAATATGGTCTGTAGTTTTCTTTCTTGTTTATTATTTGTACTGCTGTAGTCTAGTTTGCTATCTTTTCTGTGATCTTTTGAATACACATTTAAAACAGTTTGTCATTTTTCTAACAGAACTCTATTTCACATATAAAAAACATATAACTGCAAGAAAATATTAAAGCCAATAGGAGATGCTGCTTCATATAAATAAAATTATGCTTCTTTTAAAGAAACATTTTTATTTTTAGGTAGATTTATTTCCATCAAAGATGACCCAAATTATTATAACAGCTGTTTAATTACTTTTAGAGAAATAGATTAAGACATACATGTATCAGAGGAGGATTTTGTACTCAAAGTACCTTAATGCAATCTTAGTGAAATATTTAAGCTTGTCTTCATGAAAGTCTGTTTTTTAGTTATAATTCAAGTAATTGGCTTCAAAATAAATGTGATCCAAGTTCATTTCCATGGAGTCAATTCTGACCCATAGTGACCCTGTAGGACAGAATAGAACTGTTCCATAAGATTTTCAAAGCTGTAGTGAATCCTAACAATAGCAGGCTGTCTCATCCTTCTCCTACAGACTACCCACTAGGTTCAAACCACAGACCTTTGGAGTAGCAGTAAAGACTCTCTTAGTTTGCGGTGACTTCTGCTAATCCTTGGAGTGTCTTTGCTGCTTACAGGTGCACCTACCTCCATCACTGCACAGCTTCCCACTTCCCACTGTGTATCACTCCTTTTTATAAGACACCATTCAAAGGTGTAGGGAGATCTGATGGCTTAGATGTAAGGAGTTGCACTGCTAACATAAAGACACACAGTTGAATCCACCAGCTAGTTGGAGAAAGATGGGCAATTTCCTGCCGGGTGATTTTCTGCTTCTGAAAACCCAGTGGAGGGTCAGCTATAAGTTGGTTCAAACTCGATGATCTATAACAACAGCAGCAGCTTCAATGTATCAGCAGTAAGATCCACCTGTATGACCGACCTCCTGTGACTTAACTTAAGGCAAAAGAAATCTCTCTCTTTCCTGAAGCAAAGGTGCATTCACAGGAGCAGGGTTCTTTCAGGGGAACTCAATTCAACCCATATGCCATGTATAATAGATATTATTTTAAAAACATATATAGCATAGAATTTGCCATTTTAACCATTTTTAAGTGCACAATTTAGGGGCATTGATTATGTTCTCAATACTGTGTAATCAGCCTTGGAGCTTCTTTACAGCTAGGTGAGAAGTGGTATTTTAAATGTAAGTTATGAAAATATCTTACTGACATGAGAGAAACTATCTAAAAATTAGTATATTTGGGCATCCGTAATAGTATTTTGACAACCTAAAACAACTATAATGGACCATATATCCCACTCGCCCTCCAATTGTTGCTATGTGTTGTCAAGGTGACTATGACCCATTGTGACCCCATGAACTTTACCTTAATCATCTCACCATCTCTGACACCCTTGACCCTCTTGCCATAGTCATTGTGTCTATCCATCTCATCTTCCTATATCTGCATGGAATAAAACAATACATTGTAGAAAATATTTTGATGTTTCTAAGTGCATTTCTTAGGAAGAAGGGAATTTTGTTTTCTTGTTTCAACTCTATCCCAATTTTGCAGAATTCAAGCCAAAACTCGCGAATTTAGAGAGCGGCAAGCTCGGGAGCGTGACTATGCTGAAATCCAGGACTTTCATCGGACCTTTGGCTGTGAAGATGAATTGATATTTGGGGGAATGTCTTCGTATGAAGGTTCCCTGGCCCTCAACACCAGACCCCAGAGCCCACGAGAAGGACATATGATGGATGCTTTGTACGCCCAAGTGAAGAAGCCCCGGAACTCCAAACCTTCACCTGTAGACAGGTAGGCTCCAGGAGCAATCAAGATATTGCTTCCAAATCAACTTTTCTGCAGTTGTTGACAAGGCAGTAAGTAGACTGTTCTTCACTCCTCAAACCCAGACTGCCTTTTATTAATGGGCTTTTAAAAAGCCTTTTTGTCTAAAAGTATTGAGTTTACACAAATCGAAGCCTAATGGAAGGAGCAGCAGAAATTTTGATAGCTTTTCTAATGATTCCAGCATCTTTCATCCTGTTATTTAAATGGTGTTCTGAGGATCCACCTTTAGTTTATAAACCCAAATAAAAAGCAAACTTGATGTTCTGACCCTTCTACTTAAGCAATATTTCCTTTTATTGCTCAAAGGCTTGGAGAGCCTCTCGTGGTAATTAAATAGATGGAGAGTGACATGATTGTTCCAATTATGATTTGGAAAGGCTACTTTATTTTCTCAGTGTCATAATTTTATATTGTAAAAGAGTTATAGACAAGACAGGCAGTCTAGTCAAGCCTTCCAAAAGCATGTTAACAGCCATAGACCTCAGGTCTGAATACTGTGTGTCAGGATAGAACAAAGAAGTGTAAAGTTGATTATAATGTGAAAACTATGTACTTCTTTCAAATCTCAGTTGGATAATTTTAAAGCAGATCTCTTTGTATGTGTTTCTGTATTCAAACTCTATATATGTAAATACTGTGTGTGTGTGTGTGTGTGTGTGTGTGTGTGTGTGTGTGTGTGTGTGCAGTGACTATCAGGAAGAAAAATCATGTTCATCATCTTTTATTTGAAACATGGCCATTGCTGTCATGGACAATACGCTGATCCCATCACTTCTTGTACTGGTTTTTTCTGATCCCTGTTCTCTGTGAGACTTTGCTTTGCACATTGAAAGCACCAGTTGCATTCAAAATATGTACTTCTCAAGCTTCAATGTACACCAGAATCACCAGGGGGAGTTAGAAAAACTCAGATTGCTTGGCCTCCTCCCAGAATTTTTGGCTCAGGAGTTCTGGTGTGGAACCTGAGAATTTGCATTTCTCTCACATTTCCAGGGCAGATGCTATTACCAGAGGCATTGAGGACTGATTTGAAATTACAGTTTGGTCCATAGAGAATTGAACTGCTGATTTAAATAAAGCCTGTGCCTCTCTGAGAGTTCAAACTGTCTGGTTGCTCTGTGGGAGAAAGGTGGGCAATCTCCTCTTGTGTGATTGATAGTTTCAGAGACCCACTGGAGGATCAGCTATGAGTTGGTTCTGAGTTGATATAAATGAGTTTGAGGGTTTTTTGAGCAGTAATGGAGGTGTGCTGAAATTCCATCATCTACAGAATCTGTTTAGGAGCCCTCATTAGTGTAGCCACTAATGAATTCAGATGCTAAAGGTTGATGGTTCAAGCCCCCCCAGCTGCCCCACTGTGATTCTGTGAAGATTTACAACCTTGAAAACCTTACTGGGCAGTGTCTACTCTGTCCTGCAGGGTCACTGAGTTGGAATCAATCCTGTGGCAGTGATTTTGGTTGGTTTTTTGACATCAATGTGCTATAGTGTTTTGGTTTTTGGGGGTTTTTTTTAAAGGCTTATACTTTAATTCTTTCCAGCTAGTTTGATAAAAGTTTGCAAATGTGACAGGTAACCCTCAGGCAAACCCGGAAGGAACCATTGTTAACGAATAGCAAATGCCGAAGCAAATTTTAAGATAAAACTCTAGTCTGATTTTTCTTCTCTTGTCTCCTTGGTTGAAATTTTAGCATTTCTTTAGTGTTTCATGAAAACCTATTTGATGTCAACTATAATTTTACATAATGTAAGTTAACATAAGAAATGCATGGTGTATTTACAACTGTTTGGTGTACTTACTCATTTAGAATGTTCAGTGCTTCTTAACAAAGATGTGTCAAGTCTCAAAGAATAAAGATGTTATCAATGACAGTAACATTTTCTTGAAAAGCATCTTTCTCACTCAGTTTCTGGTGTATTGTGAGAAAGAGTGAGAAAAAACCCAAGGAAACCTCATTGTATTTTCTTGGAGTGAATTCTGACTCGATAATTCTATAGGACACAATAAAACCATCCGACAGAATTTCTACAGCAGTGATCATTATGAAAGCACATTGCCACACATTGTTTCTTCTGCAGAGTGTCTAGTGTGTTTGAACCACCAATCTCTTTGTTAGCAGATAATCACTTTACCACTATGCCACCATTGTTCCGTGTCCTTCTGCAGCTGCTTAGATAAGGTCAGACAGCATTAGCAGAGTGTTTTCTTGGGAGAATGGACAGTGGTACTGCTTCAGACTTCAAACTTTTAGAGAAACTGGAACAAATGTGTTAGCATTTTAATTTGTCTTTTCAGTACTTACAGCGTCTACAAACTAGTAGGCAAGCACTTGTCTTGGTTATTAATGTGGCCTAAAATGCTGCCTTACAGCAGAACCAGGAGTCTGAAGTGATCACCCCAATTCCTGAGGTCCACAAGGGTGGCCAGCACCCAGTGTAGGTTGTAAATCCAGCTAACCCAAATGTCTTGCTATCTAGCTGATTCCACCTCTTGGAGACCCTATAGGTGCAGAATATCACTGTGCTCCATTTGTCTGAGTTCTAACCCTTACACCTTTAGTAGTGAGCACTTAGTTCTTTGCAATACCCAGAGACGCCTTCCTAGGTGCACGCTAAGTAGGTGTCTAAGTCCCTCCTGGAGATTTCTGCAGTGGTTTTTGTTTG